GAATTGCTGGAAGCCTGGTATTCCAACCAGAACTCCATCAACAAACACATTGAATTAGACCCTGTGAACAAACCACTGAGGAAACAGAACCTGAAGTGGTACCAAACACCCCAGAAACTGAGGTATATAAATAACAAGTGAAACAGAACACCAGTGCTTCACCAGATGATTTTACCTAGCAGGGTGATGAAATGTTTGCAACCAAACCCACCAGCGCGGTCAGCATGTCTACAACTTCATCCACAACACAAGCTACAAGTCTTCTTGAAAATTTTAATTAAGATTTCCTAGTACCCAAATGCACAATTGGCATTTGGCAATTGGGAATTCTAGCCTTGCATCTCAATTCCCACTACCCGCCAGCTGATAAGAAAACTGGAAGACAACAAAAAGGCAGTTCATGGAACAAATCATGCTCAGTATACTCACTTCATAAGAGAAAACACAGTTGAACAGGTCAGCAGGATAATTCAAGAACTACTGGCAATGTAAGGACTGGACCAGAAGTTACAACAAGCACCACATCAATCATAAATGTTATGATGTCAACATGTCCACACATCAGTTTTATACAAAGACAAGTGGGCTATGTAATGTTAATGTAGTAGCAAGTAGTTCTTTATAGAACAAGAAGAATCTAGTCAACCAGCAGCCACATAACCTAAGCAGTAATGGTCAGCACCCCCATGTAAAGCAGATGCCTGGATTGACACACAATACATATGAGGTAACAATAGCCTGAAGAAGTTCAGAATGGTGCGCTGTCTAGGATATGCACTATGTCAGAGAAATTCAAATTCTATACCACATGGACTGCATTTTCATATTGGAATGATAGTTATGGAAAAAATTAATCAATATTCTATTGGTACCATCTATTAACATATGTCATGTTTTTGTTATTAAATAAGTTTCAATTGCATTACAATTTGGTATTTTAATCGTGTATCATTTGAATCATGTCTCAGTATGTGTAAGAATTTTGTAGAAATGGTGTACAGCCACAAATGAGGTTGTTCTGAGAGGCTGATCTATTTTAAATAATAAAGATATCCCAACTTATATACAATTTCTATTGAAAGTTGTGTTTTTGGTCATATATCTTTTTTCTTGCCATACAATTGGTCCAAATGAGCTCTGAATGATAAGTAAGATAGTAAACATACTTAGCTTTATTGACACAGGGGAGGGGGAGTTTTTAACATCACCACCTACATAATAACCAGATAATAACCACTTCTGATTGACTCCAGAAGAGCCATCACCCTATCCCATTTCTACAAAGGACAGATAATGTGCATTGGTATGACTCTTGGTGGGAGATGTTCACTAGTAATCAAGTTCTATCACCCCATGAGCTGTACCAAAGTGTAAATATTTAATTTAATCTCTAAAATGGTCAATTTGCTTCCCTGTTTACTGATATCTAGAGCAAAAAGATTTTCACCAGGTTTCTTTAATAAACTCAAAATAACTCATTTAATAGAGGCAAACGTACTCTTACAATAGGTGGTAAAACTGGTTAACAACCAAACTACTATGCACAACTAAACTACATCTCTTTAACCCCAGATACAAACATTGACATGGCAGACAAGTCAATAAAACTCTGCAGAGATGATTTGGGTTTGAAAAAGGCAAATGTAAAAATCACCCCACTGGCCGAACATAAAGATTTAAAAAGGGAACACTTCGCAAGATCTGGTTGACTTCCTGTCATTGAGATTATAACGCTGGCAGCTGTGGAATGAATGTGACCTTCAAATCAAACTTCATTTTGAGATGGAAAGTTGGTTAGACTTAGGTATTTGAATTGAACTTTCACTTGCAGAGTGTAAAAAAAAGTTAAAGATCCTGATTTATGGAACTTTCTCAGGTTTCTGGAAGAGACTTCGCTGTAAGATATCTGTGCAGTTTATCCTGCTGTAAGTTTACTTTTTCCCGGAGAGAGATCTTTCTTTTTGCTATCAGCATCTTGGAGATTTGTTGCTTCAATTGACTCATCTAGGTATACACTGAAGCGGCATCAGTCAATCCACAATTAAAGCCATAAGACTTATCTCTTAAAAGTTTTGGCTTGCATTCTTCTTCCCACAAAGTCAGTTGATATTTTGTAAACAGTAGGTGAACCATAACTTATCTCAACGTTTGACTCTTCATTTTCAAGAAGTAACATGGTAAACCCTCTAGAACGCAGAAATTGTCCACATTCTTTCATAACTTTCTGCTTCCTTTACATAGTTACTTTTAAGGACTACCTTAAAAATTCTTTCTAACAACATGGCCAGGTTATATCCATTGGAGAAGGTGAAAATTACTCCTGTCATGGCAGACAGCTAAACAAGTCAGGGAGATGATTCTACTTCAGTTATATAGAGCTAACCCCACAATCTCCTGCATCCAACACTTTAAAGCATTCAGTTAGCATTGTTTAATTTTCATTCAATTCTTCCTTTGCCAGCAGTTCATCACTCTAAAGATTTAAAAAAAGTGCAATAAGTAATGTATTTGCACTAGAAGATTGTCAGTGATGAAATGAGAAGTTTTTAATAGTTTTATTTAGTGTCGTACAGCTATACTGTTTTGCCATTGCAATGAGATAATGATTTTTGTGAGTGCTCTGCCAAAACTTTGGAGTCTTAATCTTATCTAGCACAACTAACTTCCCAATATGATTGTGAATAACTAAGTCATTTTTGTTGATATTCCATCTATGGAAAAATGTAAGAGTTCTTTTTATTTTCCTCTAACAAATGTTTAACAACTGACAATATGGTGTTATTGCCTCTGAGTCACAAGATTCTAGCTTTGAGAACCAATCAGGAGGTTAGCCCATGAAGCTTGGAAATAAAAAGAAAATTCATTTTTTTAATAGAGTTAAGCATTTGCTTAACCTCCCTATATTCATGTGATAACAGAAGAAAAGATGTGAGCAGCTGCTAGGTCTTTTTTCTATGTAATAAGTTTTCCTTACCTAATACAGGAATGACAGCAAAGTTCTGACCTCTGTGAAGCATACCTTGTTTCATGGAGGAATTCCAGATAATTTCTTGTAAGACATGTATGAAAACTGTCATCAGTTGCAGCAGCTTGTGCAGTGACACATCCATGAGGTTGAGAACTTTTGACGATAGGTGAAGTCACCATTGTCCTGCTGGACTGTAGGGCTGCTCTCTCTATAGAGAGAGATAATTGGGTGGTGGTTAAAGCTGAAGGTCAACACACCCCAGGCAAGGAGAAGAGGTTGAGAAGGACAGTCCTTCATTGATAACCTCAGCCACTGCAGGAATTGAACGCATGCTGTTGGCATCACCCTGCATTGCAAACCAGCTGTCCAGCAAACTGAGTTTACTGACTACTGACCTTTGAGGATAGCACATTTGTAAATGTGGAAAATTCTCAATTTAAAACTATACAGGAAGAGATAGAGCTGGTGAGCCCCAGTAATCAAGAAGAAATAGGCAAAGAAGGCAGATATCCCTTGAATGCATCTTACTTTCCAACCAGTGTTCAGTTCTGTTGTATGAGCACGTGAGGGTCTGAAAGGCTTAATGCTGAAGAGAGCCTTGGGCCCACTCACTATGTCATATGGGCTTGGTGGGGGAACAGGTCAGGATCTTGAGCTCCTCATAATCTCTGGCTGTAATGTCTAACATATTAACATAATTTGCATTTGCACTAATTTACATTTTGTTTAAGATAAGAACCTCTTTTCATTTGACTACGAAGTGGTGTTCCTTTGCCACACTAGACTAAGCAGGCTCTGTCATTCCCTACCAGAAAACAGATGTTAGCAAAAATTCTAACAGATAGCTCATATAGCATGATGAGCAGTGGTTAGGATTCATTCTACAATGGAGTCAAGCAGTATGGAATGGTGACCAGAATTGGAGGCAGTACTCCATTTGTGGCCTCGCCAGTGTTTTATACAGTGCCAACATGACTTCCTTCGTCTAGTATTCTATGCTTCTGCTAATAAAGGTGAGTATCCCATATACCTTCTTAAGCACGTTATCTATCTATCCTGCTACCTTCAGGGATCTGTAGATCTGTATAAGAAGGTCCTAATTCTTAGTATCGTCTTTGCCTCGTTAGCTCTCCCAGACTGCATTACCTCATTCTTTTCTGGATTTAATCCTGTTTGCCACTGCTCTGACCACCTGATCAGTAATGCATTCTCTGATCATAGTATATCAACAAAAGCCAATTAAATTACATCACTCATAACTGAATCAACAATGTGCTGGTAAATGTTTAGAAAGGCCTTTCATTTGTCACAAAATCCCCTGTAGATCCTTCTCTGGAGTGTTTTGTGTGATGGTGCTCCTGCCATTAAGAGAAAATTTTGCCAAATGCGCTTCTAACAAGTGCTTCAGGAGCTTCACTTGCTTGAATTGCATCTTGGGTGGTAGGCATGATATTTTGTCCTTCAGATGAAAACAGCATTGGACTCAATTGTGTTGCTCTACACAGTCCACCAGCCTGCTTACACATGAGAGATCGTTTTCTTTGTCTAGTATTTAAGAATTGCAAGATTCCCTGAAACCACCACCCAAAGGAATAAGCACCTTAAGAGGAGAAAGGCAAAAGGTTGGATGGAAAACAAAAATAATTGAAACTTTCAGTCAAAATTGAGTTGGCTGAATGAAGAGTAGTGAAGAAGACCGATTTGATCAATCTTCAAACACACATATGATTTACTATTGATTCTATAGATGTTCACCATAATGGATACTTAACAAATTAATGCCATATGTAAAAACAGTTTTCTAAAACTGAAGAATTTATTGTTTGTGCAGCCTCTTCATCACGACTGTGAAGTAGTTATCTATCTATCTTCCATAAATCTTAATTTCAACATAAAGCAAAGGTACTATTCAGCTTCTAATACTCAAAACTGTGATTAATTGAAATAGAAATAGATATAGAGATGGAAACAGATGATTATTGCAGGTTTTGTTGCTGGTATTTGAGCTACCAAGAAAGAAAAATTAACTTACAGCATCTTTCTCGGGATTGCATACTTTCACCCACAATATGTGATCCAGTAACCAATCTATCGGCTTGTCCTTGTAGAACATGATAATGAATTCTATGACAAATGTCAGATCAGGAGACTTGAACAATTTTCCTAAGACAGACAGTAAAAAAGAAGGAAAACAATTTTACTTTGCCACTCCATGCTTTATTGGGAGATTATCGTGTGGAGACATGATCATAGATGAAGATGTTGACGAAAGAGAACAAATAAAATATGTGAGTACAATTGTATAATTTTATAAAAGTGCATTCATTATGTAATAAAATGGAAACAGTTTCTTCTGATTGCTAAATCCTTGGGTGTAGTGACAAGTTGTGTTTCAAGGCGCATCACTGCTGCAAAAAAAAACTGTTTTATTGATTGCAATATAATTAAAGTGTAGGTTCTTCTGGTTATTCTTCTCCTCCAGTGAACATGACAGCACTGTGATACTTAGTAGCCTTTCAAATTGTCATCCAAATTTAATTAGCATGACTTAATGGATTTTCTTCTTTTAGATCATACTAAATATATGGATAATGCAACACAATTAACTGTGAAAATAATATTGCAGTCTTAGTCATCTGAAATGCACTAACTGGTCAATATAGTCTAGTGTGGAATAGTTTCGAGGCCCTATTCAAATAAGACAGTATAGGTATATCAATAAATGCAAAGAATAGAAAGTACAGGAAAACAAGTTATCTACCGTGTGTTTAAGGAACTCAGTAAACAAAGGTTCATTTTAAAAAATAAACAATGGCTCAGATACTCCGATTGCCAGAGAATCGATTCCACAGCGTTAAGGGGAGTTGTGCATTGAGACCATGCAGAATCCCAGATGCAGCTGATTCCGAAGGAAATCTATCTGACTCCAGGGTAACTACTATCAGAATGCCCAACTCATGACTTAAATAACCATCCTCAACCTCCAACATCTTACAGCACACAGAACCCTGATATATGACCACTATCCTCCCTGACCAGAAACTCCTGCCAGCACTATACCTGACAACTAGGGCCCAACACTGTGCCACTGGCCGGAATCCCTATCCCTAGACCAGGCAAGAGAACAAATAGCTGGAGCATTGATAAACATCTTTGTATCCTTTTTGGCCACAGTTGTGGAAGCCCATGCAGACACAGGGAGAACGTACAAACTCCATTCAGACAGTCACCCAAGGATGAAATCGAACCCAGGTTCCTGGCGCTGAGCTACTGCGTTCAGTTTGAAGTGTGGACAGAAAAATGGCAGATGGAGGTCCTGAGGAGTGTTGTGGAAAAGAGGGATCTAGGAGTACATGTACATAGCTTATTGAAAGCAGCATCACAGGTGGACAGGGTGATGAAGAAGGCATTTAGCATGCTGGCCTTCATCAGTTGAGGCATTGAGTATAGGAGTTTGGACCTCATGTTACAGTTGTATGAGTCATTGGTGAGGCTGTACTTGGAGTATTGTGCACAGTTTTGGTCACCCTGTTATAGAAAAGACATAGTTAAACTGGAAAATGTGCAAAGAAGATTTACGAAGCTGTTGCCAGGGCTAATAGGCCTGAGTTATAGGGAGAGGTTGGACAGGATAGCACTTTATTCCTTGGAATGTAGGAGAATGAGCCTTATTGTGTTGTATAATAATCATGAGGGGCATAGATAGAATGAATGCATATAGTCTCTTTCCCAGGGATGGGGAATTGAAAACTAGAGGACATAGGTTTAAGGCGAGAGGTGATAGATTTAAGAAGGACCTGAGAAGCAGCTTCTTCACGCAGAGAGTGGTGAGTATATGGAATGGGCTGCCAGAGAAAGTGGTTGAGCCAGGTAAGTAGCAAAATTTTAAAAAACAGTTGAATAGGTACATGTATGAGAAGTGGTTAGAGAGCTATGGACCAAATACAGGCAATTGGAACTAGCTGAGTGGGCATCATGGTCAGCATGGAGCACTTTGGGCCGAAGGGCCTGTTTCCATGCTGTAGTACTGTATGACTGTATGACCCTATGACTCTAATCCAAACAAATGTGAGGTGATGCATTTTGGAAAGTCAAGGACAGGTGGAAATTATACAGTGAGTGGCAGAACATTTAGGAGTATTGATATGCAGAGAGATCTTGGTATGCAGGTCCACAGATCACTGAATGTGGCAGCGCAGGTAGATAAAGTAGGAAAAAAGCCTATGGCTTGCTTGCCTTCATGGGCAGGGGCATGGAGTATAAGGATAGGCAAGTTTTGCTGCAGCTTTATAGAACTTTAGTTAGGCCACAGTTGGAATATTGCATACATTTCTGGTCACCACACTACCAGAAGAGAAGGTACAGAAATGGTTTACCAGATGTTGCCTGATATGGGGGATTTCAGCTATGAAGAAAGGTTGGATAGACTGGGTTTGTTTTCATTGGAACGCAGGAGGTTGAGGGATGAACTAATAGAAGTTTATAAGGTTGCAAATGGCATGGATAGAGTGGAAAGTATGAGGCTTTTTCCCAGGGTGGAAGGGTCAATAACTAGGGGACACAGGTTCAAGCTACTGGGGGGGAAGTTTAAAAGAGATGTGTGAAGCAAGTCTTTCACACAAAGGGTGATGAGTGCCTGGAACATGCTGCTAGAGGAAGTGATGGAAATAGATACAATAGCAGCATTCAAGAAACACCTTGATGAATATATGAATAGAATCGGAATAGAGAGATATGGATCCTGTAAGTGAAGACAGTTCTGGTATGGAAGGGCAAAATGCATCAGCACAGGCTTGGAGGGCCGAAGGGCCTATTCCAGTGCTGTGTTGTTCTTTGTTCTTATGTTCAAACACTCTCCTAACTTAGCAACCTTGAACCACACCCCCACCCCACTGCCCGGGACTGGATATCTCTCTCCAGTTGAGACACCACAGCCCCAACTCATTGGCCTAATCACCAGATGTGAAAACGTCCCCTCCACCCTGGACTTATAAACTGCCACCCTCAACCTGTTGACCTGATACCAATGGCCTGCTTCCTTCCTTCACCCAGACATGACTCCACCCCGGCCACTGGCCTGACCATCCTTCAGACCCGACACCCTTTGGCCCCCTGCACTCCCTGCCACTGGAACTGACAAGCCCCTCTTAGACCTGATAGCCACCCACGTATCCTGCATGCTGGCCTGACATTCTCCCAGATGATACCACATCCCCTGCTGCCAGGTTCAACGTCACCTCCCCTGACCCTGACCTAGCCTAACCATATCTAATATCCTACTTTCCTTAGAAGACTGTCACCCCTAACCACACAATTACCTTATATAATTACCTGTTCGCAATAGCTGCCCCAGTGGTAAGCTGTGCTGCTGGCTATTTAAATCACAGAACACAGCAGACTAACTGCTGCAAAAGGGGGGCATAGTTACATACTGATTCTCTTTACTGCTGCATTCATGAATTCCTGGTAAGCCTTTTGTCCAGGAATCTTCAGTGCAGAAGCAATTTATGGTTATGTCGGTAAGCTTTAATCTGATCAGGGATGGATGATCAGAGTATTTGAGTCAGTGCTACGCTTAAAAGCTGATGTTCCCTTGAATGTATTCTTCATACTGTTGGCAGTGATTTCTTAAGAATTGTTCTGTCTCTAGTAAATACCAACTTTATTTCACATTCAGACATAATGGAGTTACCAAAATCTCTAAGATCTTCAAATCAGCATCCTGCTTACTAAGAATAGCTTACAATTTCTGAATAGCAAAGAAAACATAATCACCACAGCTCAAATATCAACATTCATCTCCTCAGACTGACAACAATGATGAGACCCTTAAAACCTGCAAGCTTAGTGAGGCCATACAAATGAATGAAACATGATATTATTTTGTATAACTGAATGCTATTTCAAGCTCTGAAATACAGTAAAGTTCTGTTGTCTTAAAGCACAGAAATCCTGTGAGGTAATGCTTGGCTTTCTAATATTAATAACTGGTACTATTTTCTTTGAAGACAATGGCAAACACAAAAACACATTCACTCAGTGTCAGAAGTATATAAATAATTCAATTAATAAATAGTCTTCATAAACAATCCATGTTTAGCAAAGGAATTTTTATTTAACTTTATGCGTAGAGGAACATTTCATTGTTTTGTGCTTTTTAAATAATGGATTAGAGATTTAACTGTGCTTTTGATTGCAAATTTAACTATCCAGTAGGACTCAAATATCAGGGCAACCAGGAAAGGGCAATATTTACATCTATTGCAAATTTTAAAAACTGAATAAAATTTTAGCTGTATTGATTCTGATCTCCATGTCTGGAATAACATGAAGGAGATTTAAATCCAGCAACAAAGCAGCTTTTGAGGGTGAGGTTAGTATCTTTGTCCATCGTGTTATGTGGGGACATTCCAACTGGGAGGTGGGTAAGATGATCATGTACTTGTTCCTATACAATCAGATGCAACTTAAAATTAACATTTTTAATTGCATATTTCAAAAAATAAATTGTCTTTAACTGCCTCAACCTGCTGTTTACTGCTGTAGCAAATGTTAGATTGCCTGGATGCCTCTAGTGTTGGATAATGTAATGGTTCATTAGGAATGAATGCTAAAGCTGCATTAAGCTCTCCTGAATCTGATGATGTCAAGCAATGTTTGAGTGCAGAAAAGAAAAGTCTAGCACAAGTACCAATGTGTCATCTCTGGTTCCTAATAGTGCTGGTAAAACATGCCTAACTAGGCATATACCTCTTCCCATCATGTAGTAAACTGTATCTTGGTCTTTATCTTTAAGAACTGCTATGCTGTTCATGAAGTAAAGTTATGTGGCAAAGCTGTCAGTGCAGATGAGGAGCATGCAATGGCATTTCCTTCATAGTAAAAAAAAAGTTGACCAAGAAGGCTACATCTTGAATCAAATTTTCAATTGGATGAGACAGGTTTATACTGGAAGCAAATCATCAAGAACCTACATTTCTATGAATGAAGCACACACTTCAGGCTTTAAGGTGGGAAAGGATCGGATGACTGTGCTGCCGGGTCACCAAGGGAGACTCAAAGCTTAAGCCTGTGGTGGTGTATCATTCTGTCAACCTGCAAGCCTTGAAAGGTTACCTTAAGTCTACTCTAGGTGTCTACTTTAGGTCAAGCAAAAGAGGTTGGCTGACTGGGCAAATCTTTTTTGACATTATTGTTAATGTTTTGGAAAACGTTTTTAGGAAGTATTGCAGGAAAGAAAATGTGGATTTCAAGATTTTCCTCATCCTAGATAATGCGCCAAGCCACCCACAGACCATTGGTGAGCTTTCCGAAAACATTAAAGTGCTATTTCTACCCCCAAACACAATCTCTTTCCTTCAACCCATGGACGAGGGTGCAATAGCAGCTTTTAAAGCTTTTTATTTAAGGTGCACATTTAACAGGCTGATTGCAGCCACTGAGGGGGATAAGGACATCTTCTTCAATTTTGGAAGAGCTTTAACATCAAGAATGTAATTGACATTATTGTGGAGTCCTGGGGTGATGTCAGTAAGAGCTGCTTGCATGTGGTTTGGTGGAAGCTTCTCCTAGATTTTTTTCAAGATTTATAAGGCTTTAATCCGTCAGAGGAGCTCGCAAGAATCAAAGAAGATTGTGGTGATCTTGCAAAGCGAGTTGGATTTGAAGAAGTGGAGAGTGAGGATGTTGAAGAGCTGCTTGAGTCCCACTGTGAAGACCTTTCTACAGCTGATCTACAACAACTTGTCGCTGAGGGGTAAATGGAAGCTGGAGATGAAGAAGATGAAATCCAGGATGCAGCACCACAAGAGCTTTCCACTTTTGTTTGTCTTCTTTCCTGAGGGAAACTGAGAAGCTGTTGCAGCTCTTAGAGGACAATAATTACAATGCAGAATGCAGCAGGGTAGTAGTTCATGGAATAAAATCTTATTTGGCACCCTATGAACAGCTTCTTCATGAAAGAAGAGAAAGGGCAAAGTAGCAAAAATTGGATGACATTTTTTAAGCCAACCCCGAAAAAATGGTCAGAAGACAATGAATCACAGCCCTCCACTTCTGGATTAACTACTTTTCACCATAACCCTGCAAATAAAACTGCACCTGAAGGCATCGATGATGATTATGACAACGACCCTCAGCCCCTGCATTAACAACAGAGCAACTTCAAAACCTCCACCCCCATCAATTGATCTTGACATTATTTTCAAGACAAGGTGTTAAATTTACTTTTATTTCATTATTAGATATAAATAAAACATTTGTTCAAAGTGCACTATCCTATGTGTTAGGCTTTTGATTGATTTTGAGTTATATTTTTTGGTGGTCTGCCCCCTAACCCCGATTTTCTCATAGCCCCCGTTATTTCTATAGTGCAATTTTCTTTAACACGATGTTGTGCAGGAACGCAACTATTCCATTATAGCAGAACCCCCTGTAATCATAATAAAGAAGAAATTGGCAGAATTATCAGTGCTTGAAAGAGGTTGCAATTTTTGAACATTATTGTAAGCATTTCCAGAATGCAAATATATTACACGATATTTGTAATTAAGTTATTTAAAATTAAATACACACAAGGGCTCTTTACAGGATGATTCAGCTTTTGTAAATTTAAAATGTCGGTCTGGTGAAGTGGATTAAATGTTAATCTTCTGTAATGTATCATGCATTAATGTTAGGTAATATATAAGGAAAGGCATTAATAGATTTGTACTTCTCCAGGTTATATTCATTTGCAGATCAACTTTATTCTGAAAATTTGTTTTTGAATGAAAATTTATGAATGTAAAATGTAATGATGAACTCTCTTACCAATAAATCCAAGTTGCGAAAACTCCAAGGTCAGCCAGTCACCTGAAGGCTGCTGTTCAGCAAAGTTTATCATAGTTTGCAAGTAGTTGGGCGTTGCTATAATATCATCTTCCAACTGTTACATAGACAAAAAAAATGTCATCAGTTCATTGTCGTGGAATGATTAATATACTTAAAGCAAACATGGATTGTTTTAATTTCCTTGGGCGGTTGATAGCTTAATATGTTCTCTTTAAAGCAACCACACATAGATATGTCAACAATTCATTGAATAGTCCACAAAGAAATCTTGCACATTAAAGACTAACTAGTGCATTACTAGAGAAAACTAACATAGAACGCTTGCCTTTACTTTCTGGCTGCTCAACCTGACACCTGTTCGATATCCACAACCTTAAGCATTCACTCCATCCATTGCTGGCGCAAAATGCACTGCAACAACACAGCAAACATGCTTTTGACAGCACCTCTCAAATCCCCAATCTTTACTACCTACAATGTGGTTTGGCAAACGGGACTCACGCAGAACTTACATTGGCTCCTGATTGAAACCACAGAATTTACATTCAAATAGCTACTTTTTCACTTCCTATCTTTTGCATCCATTTTCTTATTTTTGAAAATATTAATAATTCCAGTTTTCAGTTATTATCAAATTTTTAAAATGTTGTTTAGCTTCCATAATACCTGCAGTTTTATTACTTTATCCTTAATATATATTGAGTTTCATGTTAATTGCTGAACACAAAGTAAATAGATAACAAAATACAAGCAGTACATTTTTGTAGAATAAAGTGCAGATAGTTTAACTACATTCATTATTGTTCATATATATGGTGCCCTGGCTTTTAACGCATTGTGTTTTCAAATACTGTCAAAAATTAAAATCTGTCACATCTCGTGCCACTTAGCCACCTAACAGAAGAGTTGTAACCTTTCCTCTGGTATTGAAGATGCTGGTGATGGGGGTGGAAGTCCTGCCTGCTGAGAGCTGCTGGCCAATCAGTAGTCCTACTCTTCTGAACTCAGCAGCGAGGCTAATGAAAGTGGGATACTACACTACACAAGGCCTCAGATTGAGGAGGTACAAGTGAGTGACGCAGGAAGAGGATTGTGGAGGAGAGTCTCAGCAACAATAGCAGAAGTTGACTTTCCTCAATTTGGTACTGAGTGCTTTAAGTTTTATGAGAAGATTTGTAGCTTGGGTTGTGGATGAAGTAGCAGATATGCTCGCCAAGCCGGTGGGTTTGGTTGCAAACGTTTCACCACCCTGCTAGGTAACATCGTCAGTGCGCCTCTGGTGAAGCGTTGGTGTTCTGTCCTGCTTGTTATTTATATGCCTCAGTTTGTTGGGGTTTTTGGTACCACTTCTGGTTCTGTTTCTCAGTGGTTTGTACACCGGGTCTAATTCAATGTGTTTATTGATGGAGTTCCGGCTAGAATATCAGGCCTCGTGTCTGTGTTTGGCTTCAGCGATTATGACTGTGTTGTCCCAGTTGAATTTGTGTCCCTCGTTGTCTGTGTGTAGTGAGACAAGTGAGAATTGGTCATGTCTCTTGGTGCCTAGTTGGTGTTCGTGAATCCGTATTGTCAGTTTTCTTCTGGTTTGGCCTATGTAGTGTTTCTCACAGCCCTTGCATGGTATTTTGTATATTGCACCGGTTTTGTTGGTTTTGGATATGGGATCCTTTACGTTCATCAGTAGCTGTCGTAAGGTGGCTGTTGATTTGTGGACCCCTCTGATACCTAGGGGTCTGAGTAGTCTTGTGGTCATCTCTGAAATGTCCTTGATGCACGGTAGGATGATTAGTGAGTCTAGTGTTGTGTCTTCTTGTGGTGGTCTGTCTCGGACGTAATGGTGGATTGTGCTTTTCAGGTATCCAGTCCTTTAGAAGACTCCGTATAGGTGCTCCTGTTCTGCTTTGCATAGTTCCGGGTTGCTGAAATATGTTGTGGCTCATTTAAATAGTGTCCTGATGTCTGTTTGTGGGTGTTGGGGTGGTTGCTGAGTGCTTTTGAACGAGGGATTGTTGCACAAACCTGCAAAACCGAGGAGGGTGGCTTGTTATGGTCCTCTCATGGCAAGTATCTCATCTGCCACTGGGTTAAAACCAGTAATAATGGGTGAGAACTTTTAGTGGGTATTACTTGGAGTGGAGATGGGAAGGACGTGGGAAGTCACGTCTGACAAATCTTTTAAAGTTTTTCAAAGAGAAACCAAGCAGATAGATGAGGGTAGGGCAGTGGATGTTGTCTATATGGGCTTTAGTGAGGCCTTTGACAAGGTCCCACACGGCAGGCTAGTCATGAAGGTCAGGTCGCATGGGATCCAGGGAGAACTAGCTAGTTGGCTCGATGGTAGGAAGCAGATAGTGATGGTTAAAGGTTGTTTCTCGGACTGGAGGCCTGTGACTAGCGGTGTGCCACATGGGTCGGTGTTGGAACCTTTGTTATTGGTTATTTACATAAATGATCTGGATGTGAATGTACAAGATATGATTAGTAAGTTTGCAGATGATACAAAATTAGGAGGTATCAGTGATAATGAAGAAGGTTATCAAAAATTACAGAGAGATCTTGATCAGATGGGGAAGTGGGCTGAGGTTTGGCAAATGCAATTCGATACAGATAAGTGTGAGGTGTTGTGCTTTGGAAAGTAAAACCAAGGTAGGACTTATACAGTAAATGGTAAGGTTCTGAGGAGTGTTGTGGAACAGAGGGATCTAGGAGTATAAGTACGTAGTTCATTGAAAGCGGCGTCACAGGTGGGCAGGGTGGTGAAGAAGGCATTTAGCATGCTGGCCTTCATTGGTCATGGCATTGAGTATAGGAGTTGTGATAATATGTTACAGTTGTACAAGTCATTGGTGAGGCCGCACTTGGAATATTGTGCACAATTTTGGTCACCCTGTTATAGGAAAGACATTGTTGAACTGGAAAGTGTGCAAAGAAGATTTACGAGGATGTTGCCAGGACTAGTAGGCCTAAGTTATGGGGAGAGGACTTTATTCCTTGAACGTAGGAGAATGAGGGGTGACCTTATTCAGTTGTATAAAATGATGAGGGGCATAGATAGAATGAATGCATATAGTCTCTTTCCCAGGGATGGGGAATTGAAAACTAGAGGACATAGGTTTAAGGTGAGAGGTGACAGATTTAAGAGGGACCTGAGGTGTAACTTCTTCAAGCAGAGAGTGGTGCGTATATGGAATGGGCTGCCAGAAAAAGTGATTGAGGCAGGTACAAAAGCAACTTTTAAAAGACATTTGGATAGGTACATGGATGGGAAGGGTTTAAAGGGATATGGACCAAATGCAGGCAATTGGAACTAGATAAGCGAGCACCATGGTTAGCTTAGACTAGATTGGGCCGAAGGGCCTGTTTCCATGATGTATTACTCTGTGACTCTATGACTCCACATGCCAACTCCTGCCCAGCTAAATAACTGATAGCATGAAAATTGTCATGGAGAAAGGCAACAGATTCCACCAATTCATTTTGGATTGGGTACAGAAAAGATTCATTAAAATTATATCAGAGTTCATGGGATCCAAATATGAGGATAAATTCCACACATTTTGTTTGTATCGTCTTGAGTTTAGAAAGTTGAGGGTAATCTAGTTGGATCTCAAAATGGTAAATGAGTTTCATGTAAAAGATACAGAAGGCTGAATTTTATGGTCTGTTGCAGTGGATGGGAGTTTTGAGTTGGAGGTGTGTGGATTGTTGACTTTCATCATCTCCAAGAAATGTACTATAAGATACCAATTGGCCAATTAATTGCTGCAGTGCAGGTTTTCAGCCAGTGAGGTTCCTTCAAATTGTGCTGGCCCCTCCCAGCTTTTACTTTAAAATTTTATTGAATTTAAATTTCCCCATCTGCCATGGTAGATTCAAGCCCATGTCTCTTGAACATTAGACTGCCACCCTGGATTACTGCTCCAGTTAGATAATCCCTATACCACCAACTCCCTTTAATTATTTTGGCACTGGGATTGGTCCTGGGACTTTGGACGGGTGTCTGCAGCCACTGCTCCAATGGGTACCCCTTGTTACTCAGTAGCCATCCTTGGAATGCATCTGGTTGTGTAAGCATTGCTGGCAACTGGCTGTTCCTGTGGAAATAGCAATCATGGCTGCTCCCTGCATGCAATTTGAAGACTAATTGCATGTTGATTGAATGGGAGCTGTCTTGTCATTGAAAACCTGGCTGACGTGCTGGTACCTTGATAGCTACTTGAGAATAGTCAGTTACGCCTCGCACCCTGTGAAACACCACCATTGCTGCAAAGCCTCTGGGTCTTTCTGCCTGTCTATTGCAGTCAGTGGGGAAGGTTATGAATTATCCTGTATGTTTGAACATGACAGCTGTAAAGATTTTTGGACAATAGTGCGTGGTATGCTGGGTAACGTCACTCAGGACCTACATGTGGCTTGGGGTTATTTCAAAAATTTCAAAATCACTGTGACATTCAATGTAGCCAACATTGAATGCTTCCTCCACTCAGCTACGCACTCACCCACACTAAAACACACCTGCACACCCAAACAGACAGATACACACACACACACACCATACCAATCCCAAACACATATACACAGCTGCACCCCCTCCCTCTCCCCCACCAACACATGCACACACATACACATACACACAGTTAGATGTGAATTTCTTTGCCCAACATTACAAACAGAAATCAATCACTTTGGAAAGCTGAGGTGTCCTCAGGCAGCATCACTTATTCATCCGCAGGTAAGTCACTTCTACCTATATACACGATTGGTACAGCCTCCACCTTTGCCTCTCTGGCTAATGCAACCTGCATTCTGCAGATTGGGCTCCTTCATGCACTTGCAGTGACTATACTTAATCTGGCCTCCTACCTCTTCTTCATCTTACTCTCCTGCTCACTAGAAGATGTATCTCCAACAGAAATAATAAAGCTCATAAGCATTGGGTGGCAATGCTGCAATGATGTGATATTACCAGGTGCTATCAGTTTACAGATAATATAATGCATAAGACTTCAGATAATGTCCAAGATTCTGGACTATCCACAGAGTATCCTGCTGAAGTTAAGTACAGAGTCAATATCCTCTATATCTGCCTTTAGA